AAAGGATTAAAATACCCATCAATGGCTCAGCCGTTTGTTTATCTAAGTATATATTGATGACTATGATTTTCACTGAAAACAAATATTTTCTTCTAAGAATAATGTTGGATTAAAGCATCAACATTTTTTTGATAAAAATCTTAGAGATTAATTGTAAGATAGTGTGTTACATTTAAAATAGTTATTTAAAAATGTACCTGTACCTACGTATTATACATTGAATCTTTTTAAGCTCAAAATACACTGATTTCAGGAAGTGCGCATTTTCTGAAAAAGTATGTGAATATACTGTTGGAATAGATATAGCAACAAAGACGATGATGATCAGCGTTGTAAAGAAAATTAATTATGAACAAGGAAAACACTAGATCAGCTAGAGTCGGTCTTGAGTGCCAATAAGTTATTAACAGAGTGGTCTAAGACTTTATAAAATTAACAACATTTAACCTTTTCTCTCTGTTATAGTTTCCAATATGATCCCAACTCGGTATGAATGCTATCAAAATTTTTATAAACTATTGCTTTAGATCCTCCAAAAATTAAAAATACTCTATTAAAAGAATTTAGAAATCAAAGTACGGTTTGCTTTTTGATTTTTCTCGATAATCAAACTCCAGACATCTTAACAACGTACCTTTTATCCATAGATTTAGAAAGATAAAAATAAAACTTAATACTACTGCGCACGCATCGAATTTTTCTTCTCACCCAATCACCGCTTAGGCCAGGAAAAAGAGCTGGGAAATTACTATTTCGTGACTTTTTGTTTCGGCAAGCTGAATTTATCACTATAGATGCTAAATATTATGTACAATAATGTTGCCGGTTATAACAGTATTTTTTTTGCCGCTACCAACCTAATTTGTTTATAAATAGGTCGTCAAATTTGACAGTCTGTAACATAAGCAACTGTGACTCCTAAATACTGCATGTTGTTAATGGTGTGCCCCAAGGATGTTCCACACTTGCTACGCAAATCTTTGTCTTGAGGCCTTCACTGAGTAGTAACATGATGAGATTTNTATAAGCTTTCCGAATATGTAATAATATATAACTATATCACGCGCGTGCGTCGTATATTTCATTTTGCAACTAAGGCTAAAAAATAAAAAAACTTTCCAGGTTGCAAATTTGAAATTTAAAAAAAATTATATATTTCAATATATTATTATGAAATCTACCATGAAAAAAATCAGTGCTTTTATGAAAGATGCTCGGGATCGTCCAGATTAATAATTAGTTAATTTGTTTATAAAGCCATAACTTGTAAACTATTCAACTTACCGATTCCAGATTTCGTGTGAGTTATTAAACAGTGATAAGGAATGAGAGGATACGATGCTAATACGTTCTGGTAATAATAACGCAGTTTATAAATGTTTAATTCATAAGTCATAAATAAACTTCTTCTGTTTATAACTTTTGGTCTAATTAATATTTTTTTGCGCTAGGGCTAGTTTTGTAGGTCTTTTGAAGACGAAAAAAAAGTACTTTACTGTTTTCTCGTGGAAATGAAGGGAAAAAAGTTATAAGCGAAAAACGTGAATTTACGTAAAAATTATGTTATCAATCACCCTGTAAACAATTTTCCCCCCATTTTTATGACTGTGGAAACTAATATGTTATTATACATAATATGTAGCATCTATAGTGATAAATTCAGCTTGCCGAAAGAAAAAGTCGCGTCCAACTCTATATTTCCTGGCCTATACTGCGCTATTTTGTTGTTAAACAGCTCAGTTGTACAATTAAGTTATTCTACAGAAAATATAGCTATATTTTTTCTGTGGTTATACAACAAGTTCAGTCTGTTTTAAAGTAATAATTCTAATACATCTAAGGTACTCACACAGACAACATAGCTTCGCATTTAATTCGAAACAATAAATTTTGAACCTCATCTAAGCATTATATCAGAAAGCGCATGCATCTCACTGTTGGAAACTGTTTTGGATTCTACTAGGAACAAAACTTATAGCTACGCAGTGTAGCTATTTTATGTGTAGTACCCAATCGCGGAAAACGACAGTCTTTAGGCAGATAAATTGCAGTCGTTGTTCCCTGAATCTCTTTCAACAGCTGCTCTTATCTGTCTCTTAAAATAATATGAAAAAACCCTCCAAAAGTATCGATATAATAATGATGATGTTCTAAAATTCACAGAGTTCAATTTCCTCCTTCAAGGCGTAAACTTGTTGACATAAACCAACGGCGCTAAATCACCAAAACGGGAAATTACACGACCAAGAAATGTCTCATGCAGTAATTGAATTGAAGTGGACGAACTTTAAATACATGTTATATAAATAAGTTAAAAAAATTATATAAACATAGGCCCAAAGACGATTGACTTTCGAGATACATTTTCTTGAAAGCTAGATATTTAAGTAAAACTTGGTGCAGCTTTATGATTAAAAAGTTTGTCACTATATGTCTCAAGTAATAAAGTATTACTACTTCCAGTAGAAAAGATACGGGTAGGCGGTCCAATTTTTATTTTAACAAATATGGTCCTGTAACAAATGATAACTGGTTCTCTTTGAATGTAACATTTATTCTGGTCAAAAATAGTTTCTCCGGTTTTTCTCATATTTGCTACCGTTTTGTGACAAATTCAGTTTGTTTCAGTTTACCTCATAAACTTGTTAATGGTTATTAGTTAAGGACTAGGCAGGCTACTGTCTAAATATGTCAAATAATTTCTGAGTAATAAGTAAGGTAGGTATCATTTTGCAGAATTATAATGGCGTGAATATTTTCAAATATTGAATTATTTTTTTTAAATCTTTAACACCATGTATCTCGAAATAGAAGAGTCCTTGGCATTATGTTTATGAACAATTTTTACATATCTTTACCTGGGGAACATCTCCTTCGACTTAATCCTGAAACACCCTGTATAATATTATAACTAATGGTTATACCTACTGCTCCACAAATGTGTTGGTCAGACTCATGTTTTTGAAACAATCACAAAAAAAAGGATTATAGAGAGTAATCCAAATTTAAACACAAACATTTAAATACAAAAAGAGGAAACTATTAGGTACATATAATTCGTAAAGGATTAAAATAATACACGTCAATGGGCTGAGAAACCTGTTTATTTGTACAGCATTGACTGATAATGACTGATTTTCACAAAATGCGAACAATTTCTTCTAAGAATAATGTTGGATTAAAGCATCAAAATTTTGTTTGATAAAAATCTTAAAGATTAATTGTAAGAGAGTAAATGTATTGTATTTAAAATAACCATTTGAAAAATGTATTTCAATGTATTTTAATTATACAGTGAATCTTTTTAAGCTCAAAATACACTGATTTCAGGAAATGTGCATCTTCTCTGAAATTGATATTATAAAAATATTTGAATATACTGTTGTAATATAGATATAGCAACAAAGACGTTGATGATGAGTGACAAAAAAAATTATGAACACAAGAAATAAACCGAAGATGGAGGATGTATCTAATCGCATAATTGTTTTGTTAAAAGATAAACTTGTCATAAGTTATAAAATATCTTGATTTTGATAAAGTAGTATGAAAGAAAACATAAATCGTATCTAGATAAGATCTTTTTTTTCTAACATTTGTATCTGTATTATTTTTACTTAATTTTTTTGGAGTAAGTATACTATTCAAATGATTTTTTATGCAGGATGGTCCTAAATTACCTGGGTATTTTCAGAACAGATAATATATTAAAAAATTGCGGTTACCTACCTTTTGCCTTTCAGATTCACCCCTAAAGGAGAATCGTAGATATATTTCTTACTATAGCTATATTAAAAGTCTTCCGAGATATCTTATTCACCTTTTTATATTTACCCCATTATTCAATTTATAAGTTAACACACAAGTATTATTTTTTTCTGTAACAGTCTAGAGGACAATACTTTTTAAAACTTTAAAAAAAAAAGTGAAATAAATACAAAAATGTTGAGAATAAAACACCAGCAGTCATCTGCTAAAACTATGCCTTACAGAACATGTAAGTTTGAATAAGTGGAAATTAGTACACAGATATCCTAAGTCAATTTTAAAATATGAATAAGACGTCAAAAGATTTGTAAGATATCAGAAAAATATGATAGAAATTAGAAACTACTCATTATATAAAAATAGTTCGAAGGGCAGCTTTATATTTTTAAATGACAATTTATACTTTTTACTCTGGAATCTCATTCCGCTCTTTACTGTGAACATCTTTTGTTTACAAATTGTTAAATTATTATTTAGCAGAGTTTGTTAGTTTATATAAAAATACAATACCTATGTACGTTTTCAGCCACGAAATTTGAATAATTCTAAATATTTCGAATTTTCACCTCCAAGAACGGCAGTGACAACATTTTTAAAATTATGGCGATGTTTCGCATGGTACTAGCTATGTCCTGAACAGATTTAGTTTCGCGCAACTTACTCGGTTTCAAAAATACAATACCTATGTACGTTTTCAGCCACGAAATTTGAATAATTCTAAATATTTCGAATTTTCACCACCAAGACCGGCAGTGACAACATTTTTAAACTTTGACAAAAACTAATCAGATCCCTGGAACAGCATTTTTTTCAAAACAATTCGATAACAGCACATTTTAAAAAAGTTTTAAACAAAACATGCAAAATAGTGAACAAACAAATGTTCTGAATAAGCCTAGTCTTTTGAATACCCATGAAGTGCTGCAAATTTAAAATATTATTAAATCTTTTTAAGAGCAATTTTTCTGAAAATCACATTAGGTTTTTTAAATTAATGACATAAAAATTGCAGAATAAATTACCAACTGATCATCATAATAGATTCAACAATTAGATAGGTGTCCTAGTTCCTAACAAGTGACACTATACATTAGCATTTTTATTTTTACACGTTTTAATATACGATTCTTTTTGGAATCACGTTTTTGAAATATGCAATTGAATTTTGAGTAATAAGCAGTATAAATGACAATCTACAGACAAAACAATTTTATTTAAATTATCTACAAAAATTATATTACTAGACGACATATTTCTAACCATCGGATAATTTTAATTTAGTATAAATCCACGTTTAAATATATTTCATTATGAATGATACCAATTATCTAAACACTATAACTGAATTGTTGGTCCTTAACTTAGAAATATGAAAACTATCCTTTAAAATTATTATCATAATTTAATTAATAGATTTATGCCTATAATTAACGGCCATAAGGAAGCATCTGAGCAGCACTCTTGATATTGGTTTTAATTGCTGAAGGTGCCTTATTCATGGACATAGCTTGGGTACTTGGGGGCAGCTGATTCTGTCCGGGTGGGCCACCTGTCCTACCTTGAGGCGCAACCATCATTCCGCCAGATGTAGGATTAGGCTGCCCATTTGGATTAGGACCCATCTAAAAAAATTATAATGCCAAATTCAAGGACAATTTCATAGATCTTTTTAAATCTCATTTAGTAAAAAAATGTTTTACTTTTATTACCTTCAGGCCTTTACCCATGCCAACGGCAGCGACTAATAGGTGTGTATCTGCAACACTTGAATTTTGTTGGGTGTTACCTCTTGAGGACGATTCTACCTCCCATTCTTCACGGGCTTTACTAACAATATCCCAAACATGAGATACCACTTTCTGATAAGCAGCTATTTGTTTCTAATAAAAAAAAAAGTAAGTATATGAAAAATTAATAATTCAAGAACTATGTTTTTAATAATCAAAATATGTACAACTTCCTTATTTTTCTTATTATTTTCTTATAAACACAACTTTTATGTACCTATGTATATACAGTATAACTAAAATTCTTGGCGAAACTTTAATGATAGATTCTATATTATAAATTAACAAAAAAAAATTCTATAAACTCGTATCCGGTATATATGTAAGTAGTATATTTCAAGTTGAAAAACAGTTGAAGAAAGCCGCATAAATAATACTTAATTTCATTCATTATAGCTGTTTTACATTGACAATTTTTTGATGAATAAATTGACAAATTTCTTCATGAATTAATTCACGAATTTATTAGTAAACAGTGTGGTTTTACACTGTTACAAACTTTGTCAAGTTTTTTGACGTATGAATCAGTTCTACCAATGAATAAAAGACGCAAATAAATTTCAAAAATGTCACCTTTCCACTCATAATTGTAGTGATACAACAGTGGTACCGTTCTGACACATATTATATAAATATTAGTTTTTGTAAGTAACAAATCAGTAAAAACAATGCGAAACTAGCACGACGCCACACAATTATTTACATATTCCAATAACATAATCTTATTACTGATCTGAGGCTGGAAATCTGTTGGGTTGGTACTTCCGAACTTCACGAAGAAATTGACGAAAATTAGAACATGCTCTAATTCGTCAAGAACTTGATGAAGTTATTTGACAGCTGATTTGGTGCATTACACTTGTCCAATTTCTCGATGAAGCGACCTCATCAATTAATTGATCAATAAATTGTCAATGTAAAACAGCATTAATAAACAACTTGAACAAATATTATTTTTATTTCAAAAGTATTTTTTACTTTTAACAATAATAAATAACATTTATAGTTTAATATTGTATAAATTATCTTGAAAACTGCATTCTAGAAAGAGCATATGCAGATGTCCCAAAAATAAATGACAAAATTTTAACCAGGTATTTAACTCATAAAAAGTAATATCTTTTGGTTAGTATATTTTTTTGAAAACTCACATTTTTTAAGGTATTTTATACCCATTATAATAATGTTAACAAGGCCTATGTATTAAAGAAATTTGTAAATAATGCACACAAATGTTATGAAGTGTTACTAATCACTATCTTAAAATTTTCCATTTTCCATTTTTTGGGCTTCTTTCTATTTATTACTAATTCAACTCGTTTTGACTTATGTTCCAGTGACAGGTAAGATAAATTTTAAATGTTTTAAAGTTAAATTATCTGAAAAACCAACAGATTTTTCAAAAATGTTTAGAGAAAACTTGTAGCTTATATTGATTGAAATGTGTGAATAAAATTTCGGCACTTATTTCTGGGACATCCTGTATATACATTTGTGGAATCTTATAGCCAGTAAAATTTTAATAGAATCGCTGCAACCTTTATTTTTATTTACCTGTGCATTATCATACTGTAAATTCTGTGCCTTGTGTTCCAGCTGCAACATTTTTGTTTCAGCTAAAGGTTCCAATTTTGTTCTTAAATAATCAGGAACTAAATCATGAGCAAAAGTGGTAACTCGATGTTCTGTTATTTGGGCTAATTGCTCATCTCGTTCAGGTGATAACATTAACGGCAATACCGTCAAATTTCTTAAAGGAGGACACTTATCATGACTCAAAACTTTTGAAAGGGAGGTAAGCTAAAAAATGTTGGTTGGTGATTTATATTTTTACACACAAATAAATATTATACCTGACCAGATATTAACGCATAGTTGTCTAAAAGTGTTGGCCAAGCCATTGTTTCATACTCATTTTCGATTTTAAATATCATTGCCGCTATAGATTGTTTTAAATCATTTACACGTTGTATAATAGATTCTAGTGCAGATTCCAGTTGCTTCTCTTCTCTCTGTTGCATTTTGTATTGTTTATTTATATTTACTTTCAATAATCCTGTTTTGTCATCTATTTATCAATACGTATCAACATTTCTAATATATTATGATTCTCCAAAAATGGTTTTTGTATATCAAAACATAACCTAGAGCAGCTTTACATGTTATCACCATGTCATATGTCACTTTTTTCTAGCAATCTGTAAACAAAAATACAGCGCAGCTAACTTCATATTACACATTACAGTTAACCAATAAAATATTTTAAAGAAATCTCAAATGAACGATTTTAAATTTATTTAATCTACACATTACATAAAATAAATTTGCTTTAATTTCTATCTAATATACTATTGCTATGTCTTAAATGGGTTCTTTTAATTACTGTAACAACTAGTTAATTAGCAACCCGTTCCTATTTTCGAGTATTTTATTGGATCGATGTAATGCCAACACAAAGGTATGTGTATGACAAAGCATGCAAGGGCAACGTTTTTGGGAAATACAAAAATGTTCTTGATTTGACGTGTCTGTTGATCTCGGTTTATTTTATGGCTATGGAATGAGAGAATGTAGATAATACAAAAATTTAAGATTTTTGTGATCATTATGATAATTTTATGCATTATGCATGTAAAGGTACACTTGGTTATATCAAATTTTAAGAAGATATTCTGATATCACAATCTCTTCCAGTATTATAGTCAATTTTAAATATAACATGCGAATAAAACGCACAATTGTAGTGCTAGGTTTAATAACAATAACGTGGTCGTTGGTGTTGTATTTTACTTTATTATATCGTCCAATTTATTCAGAGACTTCTGTAAATGTCAATCGACAAATTGTGATTTTGGAACAAGGCATATCAGAACAGTTTAAGAAAAATAATGATATGATTAACAATGCTCAGAAGCTGTTAGAAATTAAAAAGAAAGGTGATCATGGACAAAGGCAAATACCGAAAGAAGCGTTGAACGTTAAAATTCCAGTACTTGTATTTGCATGTAATCGAGTAACAATTAATAAATGCTTAGATAGGCTTATACAGTATAGGCCTGATCCAGATCAGTTTCCTATTATTGTAAGCCAGGTAAATATAATTATAATGTATTAACTTAAAAGAATAAAATACTATATTTCTTTTTAGGATTGTAATCATGATGAAACTAGAGACGTAATAGAAAAATATGGAAACCAAGTATCTCTGATTCAACAGCCAGATCAGTCTGATATACAGGTTCCCCCAAAAGAAAAGAAATTTAAAGGGTATTTTAAGATTGCCCGGCATTATGGGTGGGCACTTAACCAAATGTTTTTTAATTTTAATTTTAGTACTGTTATTATTGTAGAAGGTTAGTTAAAACAACATTTCTTAAAAATATCTTACTTTGTTTTAAAAAATGTACCTCTGATTTCAAAAGAGAAATAAGAGTTTAATATGAAATTGAACTCGTTAATTTTGAGGTGATGGCTTATTTGTGAGAACTTGAAATACTAAGCACTCATTTGTATATTTTTTCTGAGTGTTGCAAGCTATTTAAAATTATCTGTTTTGTAGTATACCTATATAATTAATCATATCAAAAAATATTTAAATTTTTTAATCATTAAATCTTTCTACAATGCTACTAAAATGGCTGTTTCATACCAATAAATAATTTTTCTCTTATTAGATGATTTAGAGGTATCGTCAGACTTTTTTGAATACTTCCTTGGTACTTATCCACTACTAGTAAAAGACTCGTCACTGTGGTGTATATCTGCTTGGAATGATAATGGCAAAGAAGGGTTAGTAAATATGAATCGACCAGATCTTCTGTACCGAACAGATTTCTTCCCTGGTCTGGGTTGGATGTTGACAAAATCATTGTGGTTGGAACTGTATACGAAATGGCCAAGAGCGTAAGACATTAAATTATATTTTTTCCCAATTAGGTGGAATGATAATTGTTTTAATGTTTTAGCTATTGGGACGATTGGATTCGAGACCCACAGCAACGAAAAGGCAGATCCTGCATACGTCCTGAAATTTCCAGAACTAGAACATTTGGTAAAACAGGTGTTTCAAAGTAATATAATAAAATGATTGATTTCTTGAAAAAATAATTTTATTACTGTTTCAGTGGCATGTTTTTTGAAAAACATTTGAAATTTATAAAACTAAATGAGGAGTTTGTGCCTTTTACCAAAATGAATTTAACCTACTTATTAAAGGTTTGTCCTAGCATTTATTCTATTATAACAGGTTGATTATTAGGAAATTTTTAGGAAAATTATGACAGAAGCTTTGTTAAAGATGTTTACCAAAGTCCAGTAGTGAATTATCAAGACCTTCGAGAAGGTCGTATCGATTATAATAGTCCTGTGAGAATTACTTATAGAAACCGAGATGAATACAAAATTATAACAAAAAAATTAGGATTAATGGATGATTTTAAGGTTAGTATCTACTTATGCAGTATGGCCTAATAAAAATCAAGACACTCTCTTACATTTTTTTTAATGCAACTAAATATTGGGACCACATTATTTATTATAAATTTTATGTAAGTTCTCCAAATTCATTGCAACTATACAACAAAGTATGTCACAAATTCAGTAGTCGAGAAAGTTGATTTACATGTTTATTAAATAAAAACAGTTGAACAGTTCGGATGGAACAGATTGCTTATGGTTTAGTAATTCATAATGTCTCCTTTAGCCTTTATAACAACATGAATTTTCTTTGACATAGTGTAGACTAAAGATATACAAAACTCCAGAGTAAAAATTCTCAAATTTCATGAAGATTTCTTTTGAGACCAGGAATCACTTTTTAGAGGTTGTTCTGTAAGGACTTTTTCATATGGTGTTTTAATGTTTCAATGACTTGGTAGGTCAAATTTGCTTCCTCTAATCTTCCTGTACATATGAATTATAATGAAGGATTTATTTTCAACACCTACGTATTTTTGGGACAAAAAATATTACTGTGAAGAGTTTACAGATTAGAACAAATTCAATTATTTGTAAAATAGTCATCAAAATGGTTGTAGAATGTAGAATATGTTTATTCTATGGTTGTGTGACTTATTAACTGTTATTAGGATGGACATATTGCCTACTGAATAATAATATGCCACCCCCTCTCCCTTACAAGTCTCCTACTTCTGGGCTAATCCCTGCGATTAGAATGAGAGTTAGAAATATTATTATTATTATTATTATTATTATTATTATTATNGGAAGAGAATTATTATTATTATTATTATTTTATTAATATTATTACCAAAATTATCCTTCATCCAAATATATAGATATAGTGCTAATGTATGCAGTGAGTTCTATTTTGAGCAGCACCAGCATATTGTACATAACACACGGTTAGTTTTTTGCCTTTTTTAAGCATAAAATCTAGGTACCTTACTATACAGGGTGTTAATTAAGTATGTACAATAAATTCAACAGTATTTGAGTGATTTTAAGACAAAAAGTTTATATAAACATTGGTCCGCAGATGCTTCGTTTTCAAGATACAGCGTGTTAAACTTTTGTAAAGATACGAAAAACATTCAAGTGACAAAAAAGTTGTACTTTTAGTTTCTTAATTCAAAAAATATATAAAAATTACAATAAAGTCAGTGGCGTACATTTTTTTTGTCCAAAATATTCGTTAAGGTACCGCTCGGGAAGCCACTGGACTTAATAAATCTAATCAAGTTAGGGTTAAATTTGCCCCTTAACCTACAAATTACACTGACAAATTACAACAAAATTGGGTAAAGGGTATTTAAGATATTTACGAAATACCAATTTTTTTTACAAAAGTTTAACACTATCTTGAAAACGAAATGTTTATATGAACTTTTTGCCTTAAAATCACTCAAATAATCGTCTGTTGCATTTATTGTACATACTTAATTAACACCCAGTATATAAATTTTTGTTGCTACCCTTATTTAATATCCTCCTGTGGTTAAAAAGCTTTGCCAAAAATTGTATTGGACATTTTTAGGAAAATTTAAAAAATAATTGAATTGTATGTTACCAGATGTCCAGATTTTTACTACATCCAGACAATTTTGTATAGTATAGTGCATCCCAGAAGTAACGCAAAAAATTCGTATTTTATTTTGTGGTGCGTTTTCACAAAAACGCTAAAACACATCAATTAGTAAATCAGAAATCGTTTTGTCACGTTGCTTAAACCTTTTTTGCGCTATGTTTCATAGACCTATGATGTCATCCACATTTTTTTTTAAATAGCACCAAATACCTAATTTTTAAATCATAAAAGGATAGCCCTTTTGAAGGGAAATGCATTGATATATGGTTTGGCCTACTTTACTTTGATAGATGCAAAAAAAAGCCAAAGATTGGAATGGACATGGTTTAAAATAACAACAAAAATAGGTATCACAAACTGATGCGAGAACAGTGCCACAGCAAAAAATGAGAATTTGTAGATGTTTTGTGTTTTAGTTGGTTGTAGTTACATGTTTTTATGTAGATTGGGTAGTTTCACCCGCTCACAGCAGCTACACATTGTTTTGAGGATGACAATTAGCGAATGCAATAGTGCCACCTATTATCATTGTGACAGTTACAAATACCATAACTTTACATTACGATGGTGTTGCGTGATACAAAGAATTGAAATCCTAATTATGATTGAATACAGAGATAGGATTCATTTAAGTGAGATACAAAGAATTGAAATCCTAATTATGGTTGAATACGGAGATAGGATTCGTAGTTATGATGAAGTATGTCAATTATTCAATGCCAAGTATCCAGAACAACCAATACCTCCGTCTACAGTATGCATATTAGTACGCAAATTTGAAGACGCTGGACATGTTAGAGATCTGTCTAGATCTGGAAGGCCAATGACAGTGAGGAAAAATGATAGGCAAAATGTTATGTTAACTGTCACTGAAAATCCATACACTGTCGTTCGTCCTATCGCCAAAAACGCCAATACATCAATACATAAAAACATGTACCTACAATCAATCAAAACACAAAACATCTACAAATTCCCATTTTTTGCTGTGGCACTGTTCTCGCATCAGTTTGTGATACCTACTTTTGTTGTTATTTTAGACCGTGTCCTTTCCAATCGTTGGCTTTTTTTCACACCTGTCAAAGTAAAATAGGCCAAACCCTATATCGACACATCCCCCTTCAAATGGGCTTTCCTTTTATGCTTAAAAAATTAGGTGGTGCTATTTAAAAAAAATTTCGATGATCATAGGTCATAGGTTTATGAAACATAGCTCAAAAAATGTTTAAGTAACGTGACAAAATGACAATTCCTATTTACAAATTGACGTGTTTTAGCTTTTTTGTGAAAACGCATCACAAAATAAAATACGAATTTTTTGCGTTACTTCTGGGACGCACTGTATATCACACCCAACATTTTATTACAGTGTTAGAAAATCACAGAATGTCTCTTACTTTTTAGTTAAGTTACACACTGTTTAGTAATATATATGGACATGCCTAAATGCAAATGCTCATATTTCATTTTACTTTTTACTCTTATTTTTGTTTCTCTTATGGTTGACACTTATTACACTGACAAGACTTACTTGAAACAAAAATGTACGGTTTTTGTAGTTTTTCAATTGAGTCCAAGGACAAAGACTAAAGAAAATTTGAAACGGAATATACTACAAAAATTGATATACATATGTATGTTTCAATTTAACCTGAATAAGAATCTGTTGAAATTTTTACCCTAAGAAAATATCTATTAGTACCTACTCTAATTTTTGCATAAAGAAATGGTCATGTAGTTGTAAACTAATTAAGACAAGCCTCTTACATGCTCTCAATAGTTTTAAAATTGCTAAAATTGGGCAATAAATAAATATAGTTACCTTAGCAGAACACACTGCGTATAAAAAAATAATCCGATAAAATTTGTAAGCGGTTTCTTGGTGGTTAATAGGCGCATTTTATCACATCTCTTACAAAATAAAATAGATTTAGAAGATAATAACTTCTAATTTATACGTTTATTCTTTTTTTTTAGAGTGGAGTGCCTCGAACCGCTTATAGAGGAATAGTGACATTTTATTATAAAGAGAAAATGGTTCATCTAGCTCCAAACGTGAACTGGAAAGGCTATGATGTTAGCTGGAGTTAACCTACAAACAGCCATTGGCTACATCCAATATACTCAAATTTTTCAAAGCACTTTACGATGTCATCTGTGTACTAGAAAAAATATGGAGCAAATTAATTTTCAGATCAAAATAGGCTAGATCACGTCGGTTTTGTACCAAGAGTGCTACAATTTGGCAGATGATGGCCGGATCAATCTATATTCTTTTATAAAAAGTATCCATAGTGCTTTCAAATCTTTGGGTATATTGGAAGTAGCCATTAAATAAGTAGTGTGCTTAAACACAGCTCTGCAATTTGAGTGTTTATTTTGAGGAAATCATGTTCATCATCAAAAAATCAACAAATCATGCATGTTCATAAAATTATTTCACCAGCGGTGACGATTATTGATTAGGAAGCATGGGACCCAATCCTTTTTGAGAGAATAATTTCTACTCTCACATAAAGAATTTTCATGACGAAAAAATTTCAAAGAAAATTTGTGAAATATGGAATAAAAATAGGGGTTGTCAACCCCGAGATCTCCAAAGGTATGTGTGCAAAATATACAGGGTGTTATGAAATTCGTGGACACAGACTGTGGGATCATGTTAAGCTAGATAAGGTCATAAAAAATATCTCCATCATTTTTCAGTCAGACCGAAATTTTTCGAGATACGGCAGTTTTAAATAACCGAAAATAATAAAAATTTTCAATTTTTAACCATTTAATAAATAATTATGATAAACGAATTGTTCAAAATTTCCACCACCTGCTGCTAAACATGCTTCAGCACATTGTGCTACTGCTTTCTGGCGTTAATTGTTGTATTGTTTGAAACAATTAATGCCAATTCAGAAAGCATTTATTAATACTTTGACATTCGTCAGAGTACAGTAAAAGTATCTGTTAATACAAACTGTGAATATTATTCAAATTGTGAATATTATGATATGCTGTTGGCTCTCGGAGCTTCAAATAATCATGCAGGTGAAGCAGTGCGGTTGGCTTGGCAGAGGCGGTCCATTTGCTTGGCCACCTCATTCTCCAGACCTAACGCCATGTGATTTTTTCTTTTGGGGCTTCCTAAAAACGTTGATGTACAGAACGCCAGTGGCAAGTTTGAATGAGTTGCAGAACCGCCTATTTCAATCAATACAGCAAATAACACCAGAGGTGATGCGCAACTCCATTCGAGCAGTAGCTCAATGTGCTGAAGTATGTTTAACAGCAGACGACAGAAATTTTGAACAATTAATTGTAATTTGTTTGTCGTAGGTAATTGTTTATCTAATGATGGAAAATTGAAATTTATAATATATTTTTATTATTTTTGAATATTTTATACTGCTATATCTCGAAAAATACTGCTCTGATTGAAAAATCATAACGACACTTTTATCACCTTATCTAGCCTAATATGACCCCACAGTCCATGTCTGCAAATTTTGTAACGCCCTATATATATATATATTTGCATAATCAACTGATAGATACAAACAGGTGATTTTTAGTTATACCTATTTAAATTTTATTTTTCAAACTCCTTAAATGCTGTAACTTTGACTATGAAAATTGTAAAATATTTGGCACAGCTCTTTGAGAACTGAGGGTTTTCTGATTAAAATCTTCACCAACAACTATTTGCCATAAATTGTCAAAGATTTTTATAAAAATTACTGCTACACCAATTTAATTTCAAAGAACACACTTTGCTGCATACACTTAAAATTATACGATTCTTTTACATTTTACTATAAACACAACATAACACTACATCTACCTCAATTTTTACTACCTACTAATGAAAGTTATTCTTAAGAAAATGCATTTATTAGTTGTAGACAATTCTGAACACAGAACATCTCTAATATAAAATGACAGCGCTAATAGTGGCCACATGAGAAATTATTATTATTTCAGCCCCTTTTCACTATGTACCATGTACTTCAGTTGGCCAACGAAGGTCATTGTAACCAGAGACCATCATAATCCATGGTTATCAACCACACGCTGGCTAACATTTGACATTTCATTAACGTCATAATATTCTACATTTTATTTACTCAAAGTATCGTAATGTATGGACGTGAAAACGACTGTGCCTGCTATTGTGTTTAAATTACACACACCACCAAAAAACTGTTTAAAAGAATGTCGAGAAAGAGTATTGGCCATGGTTGTCCATGTGCCTCTGAGTGGTGACCAAAAACTGATACCAAACCAATTGCAAACCATTGTCTGCCAGCGTTATCCAGTTACAACCCTCTACATGATGGCCATTGCTCTCAATTGGCTACCATGGCCAATCATTAAGAGGGGCCTTCATGTGTGGCAAAAATCGCAGACATTTTTACATAACGACTCATAAGAGTTTAGTCTCCTCCGCCTCCGCGGATTAAAAAAATAATTTTGAATATTCAGGATATAATTTGCATTTCATAATGTTCTTCTGTTATTGTATTTTATATTGTTTGGTTATTGTCTTTTATATTATAGTTTTATTTATAAAAAATGCATCACCCTAGGCAAATATTATTTCAAATAAAAAAATGTGATATATTGACTCTTTGTTCAGCGAGTTTCTTATTGCAATTTCCATCACGTTAGGTGAAAACAAGCTGTTGTATGTTTGTTTCTGTAAAGCAGGACAGCTCCTCGCCTGCAAATATGTTAGAACCACTTCCATATTATTATGTTCGTTTACCCGTTTACCAGTCTGTAATTTGATTTTTCATCTCTTTAAGTTTTCCCTTCTTGCAAAAGTAAAATAATACAATTTCTAATAAATATTTATGTATTTACTGTACAGCAGCACTGAATATCATTTATTAAATAAACTGCCACTTATACTTTTTCGAAGGTAATTATATCAAAAACTTTCTGAACATCAAAATACATAAAAATAATCAAATCCAAACTGAAATATTTTCCTTAGAAGAGTGATTTTAAATTAACATAATAGATGTCACTGCTCTCATTATTTTCATAAGAAAATCGGAATTTTTATTTTAATTTGTGTATTTTAAAATAAATACAACTAAGTTGCGCAGAGCTATGTTTAGAGTCCTTTATGAAATTAGCATTCCAATTTGTTAATCATTTTCTCTATTACGTATCTTTTGTACAAGTTTTTATTTTAAATAATTTATTATTTATTTTTGTGATATTTTATTATTATATCTTAATTACCTACTTTCAGAAGACATAGGTAAACACGTTTGATTAAATTTTTGTTTTCACAATTGTTTGATAATAATGTAAATAATGTTATGGCTTCTTGTAAATAATAAAAATAATATGGTTGTTTAAATTTTTTAATTTATATGATTGTGCAAAAACAAATAATAGCATGAAAATCTCCTTAATTATTTATGTCCTCAAACAATTTTATTATATTATTGATGGTAAATTTCGTTATTTTCCGTTTCAAAAGGTCTCCAAAATGCGATGTAATAATATTAGTAAAATATCCCTCTTATTTCTCTCTTTTGCAATTGTAATATGAATCATTATTAGAAGGTGTCTATACCTAATAAATTAAAATTACCTGAATCACACCAAATTCCGCATTGCTGCACTGCACTGCTGGGCAATTTGTCAACAGCCGAGATTTATTTGCCCAGTGGCCCAATGCAGCTATGTATTTCGTTTGCCCGCGCTCGCATTCTTCAACTGGGTGTATACATTTCTACCACCTCCAAGTTTAGTTCGACCAGACCTGTATATGGGAACAAGTTTTTCAAATATTTCAATGGCGAGTTGCCGCGTCAGCGACCGAACCTGTCAACCTCTTGGTTCTTCAATTGATGTCGGAAAGACTATACAAACTCTATTCATTAAAGCGCCGATGTTTATAATGTAAATAGTATAATAAACATTAAACCTGTATCCACATGCTTGCTTGGTCACGGATCCGTTGTAACCACGTGATCATCATCAACATCCAATCCGTTATCACCAATGGAGTGTCAAGTCGCTTTATTGATGCCCAATTGGATATTGATGGTCACGTGGTTACAACGGATCCGTGATCACGCATGCATGTGGATCCAGGCTAAAGGACACAGTCAGTCAAGTAGTACTAACGCAGTATTTCTTTCCAAAACAGATTGATATACCCGCCACTGATTTATTGCAGCGTATTACAAGCAAACACTATATAGTGTTCTCTGGAATTACTCATTCGCTTTTGCACCAAAAAAAAATTTTTTTGTTACATACACATCCTAGAAGTAATCTGAATTGCCGGTATGTGACAGTTATGATCATAAATCTAGTTGGGGTCGTTATTAGTCGGTAAATATTTTTAAATTCTTCGTTTTTTTTTTTTTACTTTGAAAGGACAATTTTTTTTGCATCACACTGAAATTTGGTTGACCTTAGTCCTGGTGTCCCGAAATTCATGCAACAAAATTTGATCACAGATTCTTAAGACAAATTTAGGGGACCCGTATTTTTTATCCCCCCCCTGCCCGCTAACCTTTTCTGTTTCAGAGACAGCCAGGATCAAGAAACGAAGACAACGACACACACACACATACACACCCCCCATACCCTCCTTAACCCTCCCCTCCCGCGCTAGCCTAAGGGCCACCTTAGCAAAGCGCATCCCAGGCTGCATAGCCGCACTACCCTACCCAACCATACCACACATAAACATGACACCACCCCCGGGGTTCACACAGACGAGCCGGCGAAGCAAGAAGAGCGCCAGAAGAAAGGGCCCTAGCCGGCGGGGCCCAGCCAGGACAAAAGGAGGTCCCACAAAGCGCCTACACCGGCCGCATTTGCGGTCGGGGTAGACGACGGATGAGGCCCACCTACGAAGGCTGTCCAGGCCTACACGAGATGAGGCAGGATAAAGAGGGATAATCCCCCTCGATCCCAAATCATTGAGGCCAATTTCTAGCCATAGAATAATTGCGCGGTCATCTTAGGTACATACCACACACGCCATATTACATACTTGACAATCTAGCTTTTTTTCAATATTATGGATTGAATGATCTATGTTCCATGTTCTGATTGTTCTGTGTTCAGTAACAGAACTGATAGATGAAGGTGACAGAAAATAAAAAGGTTAGAAATTGAATTGAATTTGGTTTGCAAAAAATTAAAAACGTTGAAAAATAGGAAATTTTTTATACTTAGTATAAAAAACAAAATATTTACAAAAATGTAACAATGTTTAGTGAAGAATCCTTGGAGGCTCGCCAGAAAAATGAATTTGAAGCCTTACAGGTAAATATAAACAATATTACAAATATGTTTTTTACTTAGCAAGGCTTTACAATATAGGCAATTTATGGCGATGATTTGAGAGATTTACGTGGTAAGTCTGTGTGGAATAAATGGAGACCGTTAAATTTGAGTCTTTCATTAACCCCACAGCAGGGAAGTTCTGGTACACAAGAAGTTTACGTAAAGCTAGATCTTCATATTATTTGTTCAGAAAAATATCCTGATAGGTAAGTAATTGTAAAACTGTGGAATTATCTACAATAAAGTTGTTTATAATATATCATTCATCATATAGCTACATCACTTATTTTATTTTTTAACCTTCTGTTTTCATATTAAAATGTCTTTGTGTCTGTTCTATTCCTTTCCGTAATGTGTATGATATATAGTGTCCCAAAAGTATTATTGGAAAATGGAAAAGGCCTCTCAAATGTAGTGTTATCTGAACTTCAAGAAAAATTAGAACAAAAAGCTAGTGAACTGAAAGGTGAGGAAATGATATTTCAATTATCACAACTTGTTCAAGAATTTTTGCACTATCACAATAAGCCAGCGTCAAAGAGTTTCTATGATGAAATGTTGCAAAGACAAAAGGAAAAAGAACAAAAGGATTTACAAGCAAAAAAGAATGAACAAGATAGACAGGTGTGTACACCGCAACTAATTTCCCTATTAGAAATCAAAAAAATTGATGTATTTCCCAAAATATACTTGAATTGAAGTTAACATAACTTTACTTATTTTATAATTAAGTATAACTAGTTATAAATACTCGGATTTAGTCGTATAAAATAGTAGATTCTTTTTATCATTTTAGAGACAGCACATGAGGGAGGAAATCCAATCAAGGCAAGAAATATTAAAATCTGAGGTAAGGTTAAGAAGGGAAAATAGACAAAACTCAGAAAATGATGAAGAATTTGAAACATCTAGAAGGTTTTCAGTTGTTACAAGGTATGAAAATAATTGAATGTACCTTACACATGTTTATAATATGTAAATATTAATTTTCAGAAAACGTGATGATAGTTCTACAGAAAGCAGCGACGAATACCCATGTCAGCACAAAGGTACCACAATGATTGAATTCAATAGAAGAGAAGTTCAGAGAGGGCAGTGTATAAGTAATGTGTTTACATACCTTAAAATGAGTTTTATTATATATTACTTTTTACATTGCAGAACACTCCACTCCTTGTCATGTAGTATTTAGCGGCTTGGATAATGAAACGGGTGAATTAGTTATAATTAATGAATGGCACATCAAAATTAAAACTAAAAGTGATTCTTTGTATATTCAACGACAACTAAGCAGTATTGAACAAGAAATTAACTACTTAATTAAACTGAAACACATAAATCTAGCTCACTATTATAGCCTTAAATATCAAATAGATGACAATAAAGTAATAGTTTATTTGTTGAAAGAATTCATTAATGGTGAGAAAAAAAATAAAGTCAAACTTCAAGTAAAAGTATAGTTAAAATATATTCATTATAGGTTCCAATTGTTTTTCTTTATTTTCCAATCAAAATATAAAGGTCGATGTAGACTTTATCAAATATATCGCCAAAGGCATTCTTATAAGTCTCGAGTATTTACATAGGAATAACGTGGTTCACAAAGACATTAAAGACACTAATATATACATAAATGATACAGGTAAGTTTGCTTCTTAATGTTTTTTTCGAGTGATATAATTTTTTAAATTTTGAAGGTCTCGTTAAGTTAGCAAACTATAGTATTCATAGGAGATTATCTGATTTAATATCTCATATTCATAGTACCTATACTAAAAAGACTGATATTTTTAATTTTGGAAAACTCCTGTTATCTCTCTTACAAGGGAATGCTGTTAATGATGAGAATCTGGTGATTCCAAATTCAATACAGTCGGATTTGTATGATTTTTTAACAAGGTATGTATGTTCAAAAAGTCCATAAACTGAAGAAACAACAGTAGATATATGTAGAGTCTGAGGATAAGCGACTCGTGACAAAACTGGCCTCGGTTTACTAATATAAATAAGAACACATTCATAGAAAATATGTGACAACAACAACACATAGTTTGTGCTGACATACAAAGTAAACAACTAGAACGACGTTTCTGACCCACTGTGCTAAAAGCCTCAACTCTGGATATATACACCGGACTTGTTCATATTATTAATAGCAAAGCAAATAACTTTTTAACGGCAAGGGAATTATTTATCTTTGGTTTTAGATGCCTTGCAAAGGATGAGTCTGAGCGCTATACAGCAGCTCAATTATTGAATCATTCTTTTTTCCATAAAACAACAGTACATCTCTCTCCGAAACATGTAGCTGAGGAAGTAGCTCTGGAAAGAAACGTGTCTCCTGAAATGGTCCACCATTTATTAGCATTAAGTCAGTTATCTAACGGACAATCTAGAATTAATAGCGAATTTGAATTCTTGCAACATCTGGGCAAAGGAGCCTTTGGGGACGTTATAAAAGTAAACAGTTCTGACAATTGTATTACCTGTGTAATCACTCTTTAGGTTGTAGGTGAGGAACAAACTAGACGGTTGCTATTATGCAATTAAACGGATTCGACTAAATCCCAAAAATAAGACTCTTAATAAGAAAATCGTAAGAGAAGTTAAGTTATTATCAAGACTAAATCATGAAAATGTTGTTCGTTATTATAATTCATGGATAGAGACAACTACTATTAAGGAAGAAGTGGACAATAGTACTAGTACGTCGTCTGTTGAACAGAATATACCTAAAATTATTAGAAGAGACGAGGTTAGCTATTTATTCAAGTTTTTTTTTATATAATCAGTTTAAACATTTAAAAATGTCATTTAATAGTAACTCTTGAATTACCTTAATTTTGGAATGACCTTTAAAATTGTTTAAATAAACATCTGGACCTTACAACCAATGTTGTAGACTTGTAGGCATATATGCTCTGCTTAAATGTTCTGTTATGTAGCTTTTTTGCGAAAATAATTGTATTGATTTTGTTTTCTCAAAAAAATTTGTAACTCTTTTAAAACCGATGATCCCCAAATTTCCAACAATAAAAAAAATTGCATATGTAACCATCATTAAGGAAATATATACATATTTATATACTAAATGTCTTTTTAGTTCACTTTAAATGATGACATTGAAGCTTTGGCTCCACCTATAAAAAATGTTGAGGTTTCCATTACGTATGACAGTAAATCACAAGTAACTTTCAATAGTCCATCTGACGAGGACTCTAGTGAGGATGATGATGAGGCTTGGGGTGCTGTGTAAGTGTTTAAATATACCTACATTTCATATTTTAGAATATTTTAATTAATTAATAAGATTTACAGAAAATTTCAAATAATTACAAAAAATCATGTTGCAATAAGAAAAATATAGTATAGACTCTTTAATCCGAACTAATTAAAACATAGGCTTAAAGAGATAAGTTCGAATTACCGATATTTTCGGATTACTGGATAGTAAATATGTACATATGTAAATATATATATGTTTATGTTATAATATGAATTAGATTTTGTGTTACTGAGAAGGCAAAAAATAACAATAAAACCAAACATTATCGTAAAATATGTCGTATAAATATGTTTGCACGGCAATAATATTTCAACTAAAAAGATCTAATCGACAAAGTTTTCGACTCGCACAAAAGGGTTTCCCCGAGACTGCCGGGGAATTACGTTTTTAGCAGTTACTTTTTATTTTGTAGTCTGACTTTATAATCCGAATTATATACGTTAAACCGAATTTTGTTCGAATTAAAGAGTTTTGTTTCGGACCATCGAAACGGGTATTCGTCGGATCGTCGGGCCGGATTAGTGGATATTCGGATTAAGGTGAGTTCGGATTAAAGAGTCTATACTGTACCATCATAATTTTCAATTAACATAACAGTATTAAAATTAGTTTTAAAAATTACAGTAGATAAATTGAAGTAAGGGTGATGCTTACACAAATTTTGTAGGCCTTCAATATCTAGTGAGCATTGCAATCGATTTCCCCAGATTTAAACATTTATCATTTTTAATTATTGGGTTTATTGCTTTTATTGTCCTATTGTAACAGTTAAGTAACAATTCGTGTTTGTGGCAGTTCTTAGATCTGGCAGAAACACCTGCGTTGCCCCCTAACTGCCTTTAAAGCTGTGGACAATGTTAGGAATTAGACGTTGCTCTGTATATCTACTAATATTACTAGACTATATAAAAATAAAAATTATTTTCAGTTATAGCGAAGAATCAGATTCAGATGGCATTGAATTTGAACATGATTCTGACACGCTCTCAAAAGACACCTCGGTATCTGTCACTTCATGTAGAAATACGGATTCTACGGAACCCTCCCAAGAAATAGTTAAACAAATTGATTTCATGTATATACAAATGGAATTTTGCGAGAAAAGCACCCTAAGAATAGCTATAGATAAGAATTTATATCTTGATGAAGATCGAGTTTGGAGACTTTTTAGAGAAATAGTTGAAGGTAGATAATCTGACATACAGGGTGTAAATTTAAGTGAGGGTCAGTGTTTNGGCCCACCTACGAAGGCTGTCCAGGCCTACACGAGATGAGGCAGGATAAAGAGGGATAATCCCCCTCGATCCCAAATCATTGAGGCCAATTTCTAGCCATAGAATAATGGCGCGGCGCGTATTTTTTATTTTTGCCAAGTGGCCCCCTCTTTCGGAGTTACAGCCCCATGAAGTCCGCCCCTAAGAATAATATTTTTTTATATCGCATAATCCTGTTGTATGAGAATCACTAAATTTGGTACACAGGGGTTTTATGACATGTGGAATCTGATTGTGCTACGTTTTTTGGTGGGGAGCCCCCTTAAGACAATTTTTCGTGGGCCCCCGTGTCTGGAGCCAAAAAAATTTGGTCGCATATTTAAATTTTTTAAAAATTATTAGTCCACTAGAAAGCCATTAAATTTAGAAACTTTTTTGTCTTTAACTTTTTTCGTAAAACGCAATGTTTTCGAGAAAAATGTCAAAATGTGATCGAATGCATATCGTGATTCGCTATTTTCCTGAAAAACATTGCGTTTTACGAAACAAATATCAAGAGACAAAAAAGTTTCTAAATTCAATGGCTTTTCTAGCTAACTAATAATTAAAAAAAAAATCAAATTTGCGACCAAATTTTTCTGGTTCCAAAGACAAGGGGAGCCACGAAAAAGTGTCTTAAGGGGGTTTCTCGCCAAAAAGCGTAGCACTGTAGGATTCCACAAGTCATAAAACCCCTGTGTACCAAATTTAGTGATTCTCATTTCTCGTACAACCTGGTTTTGAGAGATAAAAGAGACTTCTTAGGGGCAGATTTCAGGGGGCTGTAACTCAGAAAAAGGGAGCCAGTTGGCAAAAAGAAAAAAATTGTTAAGAATTTATGACCAAATTTTGTTGCATGAATTTCGGGANCAGTATTAAAATTGGTTTTAAAAATTACAATAGATAAATTGAAGTAAGGATGATGCTTACACAAATTTTGTAGGCCTTCAATATCTAGTGAGCATTGCAATCGATTTCCCCAGATTTAAACATTTATCATTTTTAATTATTGGGTTTATTGCTTTTATTGTCCTATTGTAACAGTTAAGTAACAATTCGTGTTTGTGGCAGTTCTTAGATCTGGCGGAAACACCTACGTTGTCCCCTAACTGCCTTTAAAGCTGTGGACAATGTTTGGAATTAGACGTTGCTCTGTATATCTACTAATATTACTAGACTATATAAAAATAAAAATTATTTTCAGTTATAGCGAAGAATCAGATTCAGATGGCATTGAATTTGAACATGATTCTGACACGCTCTCAAAAGACACCTCGGTATCTGTCACTTCATGTAGAAATACGGATTCTACGGAACCCTCCCAAGAAATAGTTAAACAAATTGATTTCATGTATATACAAATGGAATTTTGCGAGAAAAGCACCCTAAGAATAGCTATAGATAAGAATTTATATCTTGATGAAGATCGAGTTTGGAGACTTTTTAGAGAAATAGTTGAAGGTAGATAATCTGACATACAGGGTGTAAATTTAAGTGAGGGTCAGTGTTTTAGTCAGTGTATTCTCCAGAATACTAATTTATAATTAGTTTTTTAAACAGCACTTTTTAACTCAACTGTATGAAACTAAAGGAGTGGCAGAGAAAATGCATGGAAAATAATTTTATAAAAACAATATCTTATTTTAAAGCCACCATACTTTTTTTGTCAAAGCAGACGAAACACCGAGCATTAAAAAAATGTTTTTAAAAAATTAGTATTTTTTGCTTGAATCATTAAATATTAACTGATATGTGGATAGGCATAAGTTATTAGTTGTGAGTAAAACTAATTTATGTCTTAAAATAATTATTATTACTACTTTAAAATCATTGCAAGTTTTTAATAAAAATTATTTGTTACTATATTCTTTTAAAGCACAGGTTTAGTTTGTGAATCTCAGTGACGATGACCTCTGAATTGGCGTAGTTTAGATAAACTAAATCAGTGATCGGAACCATACGATAATTATCGTACGTATGTGATAATTTCATGCCTACGATGTACGATGGCACATTATTATTGTACTCAGATTTCACGATAATTTCCATGATGATGAATTTGAGAATTCATTTTATTCTTATCCTGATAGCCAATATCACTATGATTCTTTTTTTCTTTTTACTCGTAAAGCTATTTATTGGCTCATTCCTTGGTAACGTAACGAGAAAATCCATATAGTTCCATATAAGTTCCATACTTTGTTCCTTCATTACCTTTGTAACTTATGAAATATGTTTCCAAAGCTTAAGGTAGCCTCCTTATAAATATGACCCNTAAATTTAAGTGAGGGTCAGTGTTTTAGTCAGTGTATTCTCCAGAATACTAATCTATAATTAGTTTTTTAAACAGCACTTTTTAACTCAACTGTACGAAACTAAAGGAGTGGCAGAGAAAATGCATGGAAAATAATTTTATAAAAAAACATTGCTTACAATGTCTTATTTTAAAGCCACCATATTTTTTTTGTTAAAGCAGAGGAAACACCGAGCATTAAAAAAATGTTTTTAAAAAATTAGTATTTTTTGTTTGAATCATTAAATATTAACTGATATGTGGATAGGCGTAAGTTATTAGTTGTGAGTAAAACTAATTTATGTCTTAAAATAATTATTGTTACTACTTTAAAATCATTGCAAGTTTTTAATAAAAATTATTTGTTACTATATTCTTTTAAAGCACTAGGTTTAGTTTGTGACGATGACCTCTGAATTGGCGTAGTTTAGATAAACTAAATCAGTGATCGAAACCATACAATAATTATCGTACGTATGTGATAATTTCATGCCTACAATGTACGATGGCACATTATTATTGTACTCAGATTTCACGATAATTTCCATGATGATGAATTTGAGAATTCATTTTATTCTTATCCTGATAGCCAATATCACTATGATTCTTTTTTTCTTTTTACTCGTAAAGCTATTTATTGGCTCATTCCTTGGTAACGTAACGAGAAAATCCATATAGTTCCATATAAGTTCCATACTTTGTTCCTTCATTACCTTTGTAACTTATGAAATATGTTTCCAAAGCTTAAGGTAGCCTCCTTATAAATATGACCCCCATTCAAAATTGCACAATGTATATTTAATTTTTAAAGTAAAACAATATTGCATTTAGTGAGAAATAATTGTTTTTGCTAGGTTTAGCGCATATTCACCAACAAGGAATGATCCATAGAGATTTGAAACCTGTAAATATATTCTTAGATTCTGATGATCATGTTAAAATAGGGGATTTTGGTTTAGCCACAACTGTGTTAAAGTCAAGGCAAAATGAATATGTGTTTTCCAAAAGCCTTATAGAAAGTGAAAGAGAAGAAACAGATGAAAGCAAAACCGGGCAAGTAGGCACTGCTTTGTACGTAGCACCTGAAATAAATGGAGTATCGAAAGTGGTGTATAACCAGAAAGTTGATATTTATAGCTTAGGTAATTTTTTACTTTTTCTTTTTCAGAAGTATCGATATTGAGCATGATTTTATTTTAGGCATAATCTTATTTGAAATGTGCTATAAACCTTTAGAAACCTCAATGGAAAGAATAAAAATACTAACTAAATTAAGAATGAAAGAGATTACATTTCCAGAAGATTTTGTTGCTAGAGAAAAAAAGAAGAAACAATTTCTTATAAGGTAATAATGATCTTCCAGAACTAACAGAACCAATTTATTGTTTTTTGCAGGTGGTTATTAGATCATGATGTTTCAAAACGCCCCACTTCTCAGGAACTTTTACAATCTGAGCATGTCCCTCCACCGGTACTAGAGGAATGTGAACTAAGAGAACTAGTGAGACACACACTAAGTAATCCCCAATTAAAAGGTTACAAATACCTCATCGCTTCTTGTTTTAAACAGTCAGTCACGCCAGCTCAAGATATAACTTATGACAAAGATCCTTTCACGCCTAATACTATGAAGCCTTTGCAGTTGTATGATTTCGTCAGACAAGTCTGTGTAAAGGTAAGTATTGGTATTTTTAATGTTATATTTTGATGAGGTAATGACTGTAAAATCATTCCTGCAAGCAGGAACCAGTTAAGACAAACTGAGTACTGACAGAAAGCTAAAAATGGACTGTATCTAACAGAATCTCGAGTTTTTTTAAATTGCAACTGTGAACTTGAAAACACTTGGAAGATGAATCTGAAAATCAATTCGTCCACCAACTTCAATAATTTTAATTTTGGTAATTAGAAATCGTAGAGAACAAGTCCTCATTAGATTAATCTTGAAGAAACGAATCTAAGATGCCAAGTCCTAACTCAATAAGGAGTTAAATTTGAGCAGATACCCTAAATTTTAAACAGCGCTCTTTCAAGCCTCATTTTTCAAAATTGCTCACTGCGTTTGAAAATTTACCCTGTAAAATGAACAACTATCGAGATGAGTCTAACTCTCGCAGTTATGTCACGGCCCGGAATTCTCTTTCTATTAATTTCATATTTTAGATTTTCAAACAACATGGTGGTCAGAACTTGTCCACTCCACTTTTAATACCTAAGAGCAAATTTTATGAGGGTATGGACTCTTGTGTTAAACTTATGACCCACTTTGGTAGTATTGTATCTTTACCACATGATCTCAGGTCAGTATTTATTATATGTTTTATGTTGGAACTCTAATAATTTTGTTAAAGGGTTCCATTTGCTAGATATATAGCTTGGAATGGAATTAGCCTATTAAGGCGATATTCAATCGAGAGGGTGTATAGAGAAAAAAAGGTTTTTGGTTTTCAACCTAGAGAACTTTATGAATGTGCATTTGACATTGTAAGCCCAATGCAAGGTAATGTATTCATTCATAATTTTTATAATATAGTTTTTGTGAAGATACGTAATATCCTGAAATATCTAAATCAATTTTCTTTTCATCCAAAAAGTTAGATACTGTTTTTGTTTTTAAATAAAAAATCGTGCATATATGTATTTTAGGTAATCTTGTATCGGATGCTGAAGTACTCTATATTGTATACGAGATAATAAACGAGCTACCTGGTGTTAAGCACAAACGTTTCCTGATAAAACTTAATCATACATCATTATTAAAAGCAATTTTACTGCATTGCGGTATAAAAGACAAACATCAAGAAGTTTATAGTATGATTTCGGATGTAAAGGTAAAATTTTACGAACATCTTAGACATGTTTATATATTTCATATCGTTTTCAGGAGTGTAAGGTGCCAAAGTACGAAATGCAGAATTATTTTATAAAGTTAGGATTATCGGATAACACAATCAATTTATTATTGAATCTCTTTAATTCGGAATTTGAGATTTCAAAGGCTGTAAATCAATTTCAAATGATTACTAAAAAGAGATCAGGAGAGGCAAGCCGACTAGCGGCGCAGGCTCTGCAGGATCTAAAAATTATTGGACAAAATGCTGAAGCTTATGGAGTGAAGGTAAGCCCATATCAGTACAAGTTTGTTTTTAATGGCACACCCCTGTTACTTTTATAAGAAATGTTTGACTGTTGTGAAATTTGATACCTAATAAGTGTCTAAGGATATGGTCGATCTAATGTGAGCCATTGCTTTGTTGCCAGATTACTACTTTTTCAGATCTAGCAGAAAACTGAAGTGAAAATGTATAGAATGTCCCATTTAAAAATATTAAGATTTCTGTTGTATCTAAAAAAGTGTCCCTCAATCTTGTGACGATTATACAGTAATTAAAATTACAAGTGAGAAAGCTCGTGACAACTAAGTCTAAATCACCTACTTGCCTTCCTACATCGGTTTCAAAGAAATATCTGTTTTCCTTGGTGCAACTTCTTCGAGGTTATGTTTTTCGAAAATTCGAAAAATTTTCTACATAATTTGGCAACCCCGCACTAAAATGATAAACTGTTTATATTGCCATATATAAAATTTTTTCAGAAATCCATATGTTTGAAAGTATACAGGGTGTTCCATTTAAAAAATGTAATATTTGGTGTGTCTTGTTTTCACTCATCGCCCTGTGTGTTTCAAATTAATTTTGTCCTTTAGGTTTTTTGATTCTATACAACTTTTATATAAACTTTTTATCTGTATTTTTGAGTAACAAGGGAATTATTTTACTTTCTCGCACTAATGGCCCACCCTGTATAAACAACAATCTTGGATTTTTTAAGTATTATTTCCTTTTTTTGTGAGTACATTTTTATCATAATTTTAAATATTGAGCTGTACTGTATTTTATACCGTTTTATCTCACTTTTTTGTTTCTTATAACTTTTGTATTGAATTGATGGGTTTATATCTTTAATATTATTTTGTTAATAAAAATAACGCAATTGCCCTCATTAGACAATTATGTTCTTTTAGCCCTGAACATCAAGTTTGGTATCATATAACACTTATAAAAGTTATAGGTGATATGTCGTTAAAAAAACGCCCTGTATATTCTTAACTAAATGTATTTTAATGTTGTGAATAAATTTCAGTCTCAGCTTGTAGAATTTTATTTTGGTCAACTTTATACCTCAATGATATAATTTTAGTTCGATATTGTGGTGTCTCCTGGTCTAGTATATAACGTTCATCAGTATTCAGGCATGATCTGTCAATTCGTATGTGATTTAAAGAAAAAACATAAGCACGCAAATATGGAAGTATTAGCTGCCGGTGGTAGATACGATTCTATGATATCGTTTTACCGCAGTATCATGGAACAAGCTAATATGCTCAGCAGAGATGTTCAGCAATCGGCAGTTGGGGTTTCCATTTCTCTGGACCGGTTAGTGCAGGCCTTGCAAAAGGAGCAAGTAGACTTTCTGGATGTTGTCGTTTGTTCCATTGGTACGAAGAATTTGATTAGGGAAACAACAAAGGTAAATCTTCTATTTCATATTATTTTACTTTTAAACTTTACATTTAAGATAGTTGTTTTTCAGTCATGTTCTTATATGTATAATAATTTGGCTAGTATTTAGCCAGTAAATGAAATTTGTAATATATGTAAATCAAAAGGTAATTCGTTTCAGATTGAAACTTGGTTTAATCGTTAGTTTATGCAAAAAGAAATATTTCCCAAATAGTATGGGTTTAAAACAACAAGATCATTGTTTAAACAATGATTATTTCAAGTCTTAATGTTTATAAATAAACAAGTTATGAATTTAAAAAAACACTATCTCGGCTAAAAATGGTCCTAGTACAATATATTTTTTTTTAATTCGTGAAAAATTACGAATATCAAAGCGGCTTTAAAAAATATTCATTTTTCGCAAAGTTATTAACGAAGTTATACACCGTTTTGAGGAGGTTAGCCTATGAAATTACAATTTCCAATTGCATATCTTGAAAATATGTCAAGACGAAACAAATGAGCCCTCATAAGGCCCTTTATTATAACACTAACAACCGCGTTTTTGCTATTGAAAAAATACTATTTCTAATAAATAAATGCAAAAACTCGAAACAAATAAATATTTTTTTACCAAATTTTCAGGGTTTCTTCAGGGTAACAAAATACAACTTTCACTGCAGTTTAGAGAAGATTTTTGCTTTTTTCTTCTATTTATAGCAAATTAAAATTTCGCTGGTTTTTTGCAATTATTTAAACAAATTGTTAATGGATTTTAATGTGAGGTCTCAGATGAAACATTTTTTGAAAACCTATAAGTATAAACAAAAACTCCTGTTGGAGAGCGCTTTTTAATGCAGCTAAAAAACTCCATTTTTCATTGTTTTTTTTTAAATATACAGGGTGTTCAGTACGGAATGTGACATGCTTCAAGAGTAGTTGCCTTGATTGAAAATAGACCGATTTAATTCGAGTTACCTTTACCTAAAACAGAGAGGTATTACCAATAAAAAAAAAGCAAAAAAGATGTATAAGCGCATGTTCACATTCAGCTACCCCAAAAAATGGAAGGAAGCTACCCTTAAAAGTATTTCACATTTTTTATTGGGCACCTAGTATTATATGAATTACCTATTTAGGTTTTAAGAAGTTTATGGGCAGCAGGCATAAGAAGTTCTTTAGTGGAAGCCGCCAATATAGAAGAGATACAAGAGCAACTGAATGAACTGAAAGTTTCCCATACTATAATTTTGAAGGATAACGACCAAGGAACAGTGAGAGTTCGAAGTTGGGACAAAGATAGGTGAGACAACACATACTCTTTGTAATTTCTAATAAAAAAAATATTGACAGTTGTTAAGAATTCAAATCCCCATTTAAATAATCTTAAAATGTTCAGAAGTCTGCTGTACAGACAAAAATTCAAAGGTGTAAATTTTGCTTTTTTGTATAGTGTTGATTAACTGGCATGTAGAATTCATTTGATCGGTGGAACTACTATTACTGTAAAACATCACCTGTTTTCAGAGTTTTGCAATTAAAAATGTCAGTAGATTTCAGGAAAAATTGTTCACGACTACTGAATTAGTAGAAAATGTTCAGCGTATATTAAAAGCTGGGAATGAGGGGTACCAGGAAAATGTAAGTTCCCCTAATATTTTGTCAAAATCAGAAAGCCGCACTTACTATGGTGACCGTGGTGACCACTGCCAAGAAGCTAATGTAAATGTATTGTTTGCTGACAAAATGTCCTCCAATTCAAGAAAAAGATACGAAAATCAGGTACAGAAACATACAGCAACTTTTTGTGGTGCATCAGTTAAAAATTGCACCAGTTTATAGCATTTAAATACATTTTATATTTCAGATCAGATCTCAGTTGGATGGTTTATTTAAAAAATTGACGGGATACGTCATTGTCTTAGCCCTTACCATAGAATCAAATGTGATAAGAACTTTAGCGTCATATTTAGAATTTGACTCTGAATACCAATTCCAAAAATCAGTTGAGAATGTCATAGAAAGGTAAAATCATATTTTTTTATATCATAATTTTATTTCTTTAAGAACTATTGTAATTAATATTTGCACAAACAATATATCCTGACTCCACACTTGTGTTGTTCACGTATGAATATATGAAGTTTTAAATTTGGCCATGCACAACTGAAATGAGGAAGTTGCATCAAATTTTCTTTTGAGGCAAAATTTATTTAAAGTGCAGAAAATAACTACAAAAGTATGTTTCTATATGTAAAACCCCTTTAAACTGAACTATTAATATGTAATTAATTGGATTATAATACTACAGATTGTACAATTTTTAAAATAATAACAATTAAGTAAAAGTAAATAATATAAGAACTATCCGGCACACGTAGATTACATAAATACAAATGAGTGAGACAGGCTACAGAACACAGAACTACACAGACTACCGAGACCGAGACTCGTTTGGTTTGGACCAATACCGGATCGTGACATAAAAGCCAGCCATCTTTGTTTAAGGAGGTTTATAGGGTACGGATGTACGTCTAAAGTCTTAACGAGAATTTCTGTAAATTCGCTAGTGACTAAAGTAGTAAGTCTTTAGATTTAGCAACATTGCACTTGGCTGGCGCACTCGGCTCGGCGTTCGCTCGCTCGCATTCGATCATTCTGTTTGGACACCTGCGAATTTCAAATAATACGCTACGTCGAGACCGCGACATTGCCGCTATCACGCATATGGAAGTTAAGTTAGTCAACGACAGCAGTTTGAAGGAGATTTATTATAAATTATATATCTTACAAGTACCTAACCGATTTCTACAAGTTGTCATACGGTTCCTTAGATATCGGTTTCCTATTTATACAAGTTACTGTGGAAACTGTTCGTCAATTGTTGCGCATTCTAAGTGGAAAGGCCAAAAAAATCTACATTCTCATAAAACTTCGTACTAAATCGTGAAATATTATTTTATTAATATCTCGTCTCTTAAGTATCCAAACTAGTCATAATTTCTTTTGAGGATTTTCTTCATATTAATAAGCTTATATTAATTGTTTTATTATTATTTGTTTGTTAATTCCTTATCAGATAAACCTCCTTAACACTAAGTTTTCTTGTGTAGAGAATTATTTTCAATTTCTATATTTTTTTATAGGAAAACTATTAATTAAAAATTTATGCAGCAATTGACTTTTTACGATGCAAGGAATTTAATAAGAGAATAAAAAATGTGCAACTTCCCCATTGTTGCCATCTACAGTGCATCAAATTGATCCTTACTATGCAGCACATCACATTATATCGCTGTCGAACAGTAATCCAATACCGCAACCTTTTCCAAATCACTGACATGCTGCTTAATAGGGTTGTTGACTATAAAAACAAACCATATACAAATTGTTGTTGATACAAAGATTTTATATAAGAGAACCTGCCTGTATAGTAAAATTTTAAATATATGACAAATTAGTGGTAGAAATCATTTATGAATTTTTCTGTTACTTAAAAACTAGTCTGACGTCATAAGGGGCAATTAAACAAGAAGCTAGTAGCGATCCTATTGCATAATTTTGAAGAAGAAAATATATCAAAATTGTCCATCAAACCCTGTTACCCTGTTTCTTGTTTTTTAAACAAAAGTGACAGTAGTGACACAAGTAACAGCAGTCTATCAATTAAGGACGTTCGATACATCTCTTGCGGGGCAGGCGGTGTGGGAGGGAAGCCTATGCTTATACACGGTAGTTTCGTTGTAGTACCAACCTTACATAAACTAATTTGAGCGAACTAAATATAATATATACCAATGAAATTTATACAACACATATTAGCTTGCATATATTTTTTGTGTTTAATGCACGGCAATTAACTTTTTATTTGAATAAAAGTGTCTATTTATTCATTAAGAGCTTGTAAAATTATGGATGAAATCTGGCAACATTGTTATGGCGTGGTGGTAAAAGTTGGGTCAACTGTCATTACTGTCAACTTTGCGCTTATTCCGTAAACATGAATGAACATC